TTTCTGGTTAGCCTTAACAAGTAGTTATTTACTGCTTAGTGAACTGTCTAGGAAYCATAATTAGAAATTAACATCTTTATATTGATAGCAAAATTGATTTTGGTGGTAAAGAAGACGAATTTTTAACATCTACCGACTTATTTATGAGTATTTCCATTGTTGACAAAGCGTAGGTCCAACAAATTGAAATAACGGTTTGTGAATATAGTTTTTTCTCCTTAATTTTGAGCTGCTGTTTGTAGCTTTAGTGGAGCACAAAAGTACCAAAGCTCGAATATATATATTATTACATTAAAAAAATTATATTTAATTATATTTTGCTACTTTCTTATCGTAGTAAAGAGATTATCGTACTTATTTAWCTACTGATATACATACATGTAGAGAAATAAAATATATTAAAAAGAAGCAGTTAAAAATGAGAGTTCTCTGTACCAAGTCTAGAAATATCTCTCAGCAACACATAAATCGTCGTGTACATTAGTTATCATGGAGCCTGATTTACTCGAYGAATCTGTCATGTGCTGAGTTCATTTTCATTTATTTCACAATTTTTTTGTCCTGAATTTAMACTGAAGTCAGCACACTGAATTTCACAGTCRTGAACGTGTACAACAKTGATTCTTCTTAAGTAAATATGATTACAATTTATATTTTATATTTRATGCTATTTAAGATAGCAGAAATGGAGCTCTATCTTTACTTGATCTAAAAGGTGTTCTTGTGTTACATTGTCTGATATATTTGTGATTTGAATCTTGGAGKTTCTGCCCAGGTGATACAATGTACACTATAAGCCGTTCAAAGTTTAAATAGGTACTAATGGTTTAACCGATTTATCAGAGAATATGCAATGTAATGTTAGGAAAGTGAAGGAGGAATTCTTCGCTTTATATCGTAAACATACACGGAGTATTTGAATGTTTTCATCTTTAATATCAAGTTGTAAAACGAGGAATTTCTCTCGATGAAAATCCATAACATATAAAGCATATTGAAGTAACTAAGAGAACATGAAGAAGTAGGATGTAAAGAAAATGAAAACAAGAAAAATAGGAAATAAGGGATAAATTAAAGATTAAAAGAAAGAACGAAAGAGCAAAGGGAAAAATTATGAAAAAGAAATAATGAAATGAAAGAATGAAACGAAGGATAGATGAGAGARCAAACAGTGAAGTCAAAATTGAAAAAGGGAATCTTTTTTGACACTAAAAACTGTAAGTTCATTGTATGGTGTTTTTTGTTTTTTTGACTTCTTTGACTTTTGTATTCATCTATGAATTATAATTAATCATTTCAAAGTGAGTAGGTTTATTAACGATTTCTAGAGAAGTGAATGAAGTCACCGTGATAGTCTTGAACTAGTTAGTATACTCCTAATATAAAACGCAATACTTTGCATTCTCAATTATTTCTAGTTAGGAAACTTTTGTTTTTTACCCTAGTAATTTTTTTTAAAGTAATAAAAGATTCCTATTGAAAAATGTTTCATACTCTCGTCAGCGAAACGATCCAAATAATTAAAACATCGAAAAGCGTTAGATTTCAACTGATGTTAAAAGGTTTTTAATCTAGAAAAACGTTCTAATGGCGCCAGAAGAATCAATTAGAACGACTGGATAAATTCCCAAAGTAGAACTTTAAATGAACCTTAACAATACAGCTAAATTTTAAAAGGCGTCGAAATTTCTTGCACGGCTCAATTGGAGGTCTAATAATTGTAAGTTGTAGTATCTAATTATGTAATATACCTGCGATCAGACATTCATGAATGCTTCAACTCCTGYAATAAGGATATTCTAGAATTTTTCAATTTTTTTCTCGTCATACTGTTGTAGGATTCTAACTTTGCTAGTTGCAATCACTGGTACTTTATTGAAAGGAAGCCCATTTGATGCCAGAAATGTGGAAGAATGGCTTGATTATCAGTTCCGTAACAAGTGTAAACCATTAAAGTGCTGATAGATATGAAATTTACCTTTGATTGAGTATTCTTTACTGTCAGACTGATGAAGCCCATTTAATGCTAGCAGACTTTCTGCCTAACAACATTGTTAAATGATGGAAAGTTGAAATTGTATATGATCAAGCAGGAAAAAGGARAGAAATAAACAAAAAAAGYCATGACAGGTGCGGACAAGATAGAGATCGTTGCTACAAAAAATTAAAATAAGTGAAGAAAAGCAAGACAACAACATGATAATTTTCTTGTTATTACGTTATGTTTCTTGCAACTCAAATAAAAATTAAAAATAAAAGAGCAAACTTTAAGATTATACAGCTAATGTAATTGTACATTACGTAGTTTAATGAATTTTTCCAGCTACTTCATTGATCTAAGCTTCTAGAATATTTGATCAAAAAGAAGATTTTTAACAAAAGCTTTGACGCTTTACACCGAAAATCAAATAACAAATGCTGATTCCAATTATGTCAATAAAACATTACATTTATTAACACGTCTTTGTATATACAATATTGCTTGATATTCCGGCACGAGGGGAGCTTGTTCCAGAGGTGTTTGTAATTATCTCTGTCTATAGATAGAATTGAGTTAAATGAAATTAAAAAAAAGAAAAAAACAGACGAAAAATTCTAGATAATCACGGTTTCTTAAGATCCTACGTAGCTTTCCTTTGCGACTTTTTGTCTAAATGTCAAAGATGATATTTATGGCTTCTGGAAAATATATGATTTATGACTAACGCGCAAATTGACTTTGAAGATATTGGCAAGAATCTTGTATTCATTTGAATGCTTGGACAATTTAAGTGCAAAGGATCTAATTCGATAACTCATATAGAGCAAACAACACTGCTACATAACAGCAAGTATTGATTGGTGTTTGATAAACGAGATTTTCAAGTAACTTTTAATTAAGTTATGTCAAACTCATAGAGATTTCTTTAGAAAATCTGACAAAGCATGTGTGTACTATTACTTATTCGCACAATACCTATAGCCTACTTCAAGACCAATAAATCTCCCTTAAGAATGCGTCTCTACTCTATGTTGGTGGCTAATTCAAAACCCACTTTGATTTGATGTTCATATTTCTTTCCACGTAGCCCGATTATAGACTCGCTGAACAATTAAACCAGTACGATGCGTAGATGGCTTAAAGTGTCTCCAATGTTTTCTAAACATCAACTTATGCACTTCCTTTTTCGACCTTTTTAAGTAGTTTGTTGTGTAAAAGGCCATTTTTAATCTTTATAGTACACTAAGAAGTTTCTTAGATTACTTTAAAGTATTAATTATTGTCGTACATTGTGACCATCTGTAATGCTATCTCATGTGTGAAAGACTCTCGTAAAGATGGTGGCTTCTTGTCGTTTTGTTTGTTTCAATGGTCGTATTTACAGTAAATATCAACCCCATAAATAAGCACTCACTAATCTACATTACTCTATCGTGCATTACATCCCACTATCAAACCCTACATAGCCAACAACTCATTATTATATTATTATTTCTATATTTCCCTAAGGTGTTTTTATCGGGCCTTTTGAACTTAATGTTTTAATTTCCCTCCCTTGTCTCTAAAGAATRACCTTTTTAGTCATCTATCTATTGTTTTAGACAAAAGACCGCAGAATGTTTTGAGAAAATGGTATGGTCAATCAAAAACATTTCCTAAAATATGACGAGGTCTGAGTATTGGGAGTGATCGGGGTCCGTAAGGGTATATTACTATCAGGTTGTTGATCTGATTTGTCAATTCATGTTCAAACGGTGCTTATTAAAGCTAATATACTTTTAAATCGATGACATTGTTCCTTCATAGACCCAAATGCCGCAAACATGTTCACGAAGAGCGCGCGCCGTCTGATCTGGTCAAATAGATGATAGTTAAACTAACATAAKACCGCGAGATCATGAACAGTACATCGCGATATAATCACCCTGTAACAAAGAGATTGCTGCTAATTGTTCGGGTTATTAACATYGTTATAGGAATAAGCAATTCTCTAGTCAGGCTTATCATCAAATAACGATAACTTGTAGTATCGTACTTAGCTTGATGGCTTGAAGTCTGATAACTTGATCAAAACTACCGACACAGGGAGCCGTCACCTTGCTATGTACCTACATCAAAACTAATTATCTGTAACGTATGATCGCTACTGCTAATACAGCMATGGCGGCGCACGTTAAGAGCTAGTTTACTAGATTCTATTTTGCTGCAGTATGGYACYATCGATCTGTTCCTTTTTGTTTTGCGCTACTTTGACACCTAAACTCAAYTMAAGTTCATATTAATTGGATCACAATTATTTAATCAAATCCATCCAACAATCACATTATGTGATTTTGATAGGGGTGATTTTATTCTTACTCTCTTTTTCTYGTTTGCTGCGAGTTTTTCTGTAAAGTTTATTAAGAGTTCCTTCCGTTAACTGTTTGAAGCCTGAATATTGACAACAATTGATCGTATTATGAATAGTATAACGTTAAAGCCTTCTAATTCAGCTTCCGAATCTCTATTGCTTCCTGCATAAAGCGTTCCTGAACGGACAGTCTTAAGTGCAATATTTGCTTGTCATGTTTAATAAAGTGGAAGTATAAACAAWCTTAATATATACAGGATATACGGACTGTAACTCTAGGGGCACTATTCTACAGARCAAGTCGAGTTTCTTTGGCTTAGGCGGCGACATCAGAGCGGAATCTCGGCGTGTGATCGAGAACACGACCCAATACATGAATGATTGCAATAGAAATGAGTCATTGTCACAAACGGGACCCCTTTTATGTGCAATCTAAAAGAAGTCTTTCACTCCTAGATGAACAGTTCCGCTCGACTTTGAAGCTTCCTGCCTTATGATAAGCTTCTTATCAAGCAAARAGTGATTATTTGAAGGGCTTTGAGTGAGCATTAGGTGTTAATCGTTATCACAAGTCATCGACACTTACTCTGTCACTCTATTCAATTAATTTGGATGGCAATTATGATCACTCCGAGTCATCCAAACATAGCCAATCATACGTCACTGGCGCTCATTGTGCATTGATGCGCATTGCGAGAGACATCTTATTAGTTCCACCCCCAACAGTGCAGCTGAGGCCGAAGGCAACATACATTGGCCCGGTTAGTTACTTACACAACAGAAAAACATACAAATCATTTGGCATATAATGCTGAGCCCGGACCGCTCGACGATTCATTCAAACATGGACACGAGAGTGAACACACTGGATGTCGAGCCTGAGTCAGATGAAGAGTCACATATAGAAGACAACACAGGACAAGGAGAAATCAGAGCTCCTGTCACATCATTTTCGGTCAAAGATATTCTAGACCCTAACAAGTTTACTACGGCTACGTTACGTCGACGGTCGAGCGACAGCGAAGRAGATTCTGASWCAGAMATAAGGGAGAATCCCCAAGCTAGTGTATGGCATCCATGGATGTCTGCCACTCGATATAACAGACCCAGCAAGGCACATGGTGAGTCGCTTAATCTTCTTGAACAAAACCCGTCTTGAGTTGAGATCTTGATTTGTTTGCKTACTATTTAAACCCATTGGTGTATATGTCTATGATAGGTTCTAAAACGCCTTGATATGTGCTAATGTRGTGTTTAATCAATGCTATTCATTGTGAACTGGCTTTGATTCCTCGGCCAACTTGCAAACAACATGCACAAGTCATTATAGTGATTTGCTGTCTCGTCAAACCACATATATTCATTATATAGTTTGCGCAGACTGACATTAGCGTTTAAAGTGCCTTTCGGCCAATTAATGCACTATAATTCCTCGCTTAGAACTCACTTTAGTTTGTGAACTTGAGTTCTATTCTTAGTGTGTGCATCTGTGTGTAATACTCTATACGTAGAAATCAGAAATCCATTGACTTTTACTCGCCGCAAAGACAAGATGACTTACTGGGTCGCTAGTATAGTTGCTSAACGTTGTGTTCAAAACAGCATGATACGCTCCTTTAATTATGACTTTATTTTTTTCTCTTTTAGGCACGGATGTCGAGAAGAATTGTGATGAAGATTTAACTAAATTAGAGCAGGATATTGAATCAAGCGACAAGTCAATGAACAAATCAAAACGAAAACGCGTCTCTTCGGAACGAGCCAAGGAGGGCAAACCACGACGCGCAAGGACTGCGTTTACYTACGAGCAGCTAGTTGCTTTGGAAAATAAATTCAAATCGACAAGATACCTGTCGGTGTGTGAAAGACTWAACTTGGCCTTATCTCTCGGCCTTACTGAAACTCAAGTAAAAATCTGGTTTCAAAAYAGGCGAACAAAGTGGAAAAAGCAAAATCCTGGYATGGATGTTACTGCCCCRACTCGACCGAATATTCCACATGGMTCGTCCTCTATCACTGGTTATCCGCCTGGCTTTCTTTGCGGAGCTCAGTGTCCGTCACAAATGCACTATTATTCCACTGCTAGTGGYATTCCGTATGTTATACGACCACATCCAACCTACGGGCATATATAGTAACACGTTTGTACATTGTGTTCCTTTAAGTCAGTCTTTTCATGTGTGTGTACAGATCTCAAATCAAGAATATTATGATATTTAGCTCGAAAAGCTAATTAGAAAATTAGAGTATAATTCTAAATAACAGGCCATTGAAATGTTAATCGCTTCCAAAGTAATCGCATCACAATTCTCCTAGTAACAAAAAGATAAGTGAATTTCGTTAGACTCTGTTGATTTCTTATTATCTCATGGCTATTAGCCACTTAAAGTCTGCTGATATACTGATAGAATAGCCAGTGTGGTTTAGTACTAGAGTGTTTCATTGTAAACTTAAAAGCTACACCGCGAAGTGAGGGAATTTCAACGAAATCAAGTGCTTCACTAACCAGAAAGCAATCACTTCAAGAACTCWTCTAATTCTACTGGACTTGACTTTAAACTCTACATAAAATCATAACACAGGACTATCTTTTTCTAATTTCACAAGCTAATAACCTTGAAAATCCAGGCAAATCTATGAAAAATAGAAAASCAAACTCACTGTAAGAGTTTTTTAGATTGTTGTACATATAATAGTGACGGGGGCGTGTGTTGTAATTGTAAAAACCTTTCAAACATAATGAAATATCCTACTTAATTTATGAATTTACACTTAAAAGAAGAATTTTATATAAGTTTGATGTTGGATGTACATTATAATGAATACAGAAACATTGGTTTAATCAAGTGTTGTGTGATATGGAGTTATGAGATCAAACCCYTCTATATTCGAACCAGTGACTTTAAGAGCGGATGCATGAAAACACTGTTATGTTTTAATACGATAGTCAATGTACCAAAGGCTTCTTCCCAAAGAATGAAGTTACAGCAAGAATTTTATAATTTTAGCGATTGTTTTCTTCCATTGTGTCTTGAGATTGGTATAGGGACACACGTTTCTCAACGGATCTATAACTTATGTAATCYCTTTCTTTCATTACTCAAAATCTTTATTATTTAATTGTCATGTTTGAGTTCTTTCTGTTTTGATTTTGAAYTCTCTTTTCGGTCGCTTGATTGGCGCCAAGCGGTTGCAATTATGTTCTGGAGCGGTAGATCGGCTAATTAGGGTAACGTTCTATCTAGCAATCATTTGCTTTCCTAAAGAGGGCCAAAAGAGCGCACATACTGAGAGTGTAAAAACCGACACAGCGTTAGATGTGACTTAAATTGGTAGCAAACTGGCCAGCGATAAAAGCTGTAACTGAGATTCATACAGTGTTCGCAGCACGCCGCGTCGCGACCCCCCTTCCTAGCGCGGCATCTCCGTTTAATTCAACATCTAAACACAATCCTTGTACCTGGTGTTGTTTTGTACAAGGACTAAATGGTAACGAATTAGTAAGAACAGCATCGTCGGAACCTCTTGCCGTGAACTATTAGAAAGGATTTAACCTGCTCTCTTATTGAATAAAACTATTAGCTAAGGCAAACATGGCTGTTCTGTAGTCACGGTTAGGCGTATCGTGTGTCGGATCTCTTTTGAGACTCTCTGGTCTTCATGGTATTGTCAAAACAAGAGCGTAGCTTTATCATGCTAGATAATTATTTCCTTTTTCAAAGTCATATTTAAAGGTTTTTGTGCTGAATTCTTAATAATTGTTCWTTGTTATGTATCTTGATTTTAATTAAGTAGGTCCTGAATCGTAATAACTATCAATATATCACAAGGGAATTAGTCTAATAAAGTCAAATCGTTCAATCTACCTTTGAAAATGTTAAAACATTTCTTAATTCTTGTACTTTGAAAACTATCATGGGTTATATGCTCATGTGACGGAGTAATGACGCTTTAAACAGGTATAGGTACAAAAATAGGTACAACAAGTTTTCGTAACAAAYTGAATGACACTAGTTTTAACTAATATCAAGTTTGGGAAACTGTCCTACTTACACTAAACTTTGATACCCTCCCCTCTTCTTTATTAACAGAAAAAACCTGCGATTTGAAGTGCTTTTTAGATTTATTTAACTTTAATTCAAGTTGTTCAAGTATGGTGCATAAGATGTATGTWTAGATACTGCACTGAACATTCCTGTTATTTTTTGTATTCTATGACTACTGCAATGTCTTTGTTTAGGTTTTCTTGTACTACTTTTCGGCTATTATAAACCATTGATTTATATAATTAATAAATTGCTATGTTCTGCGATGTTACTGCCATTTTCAAATAATTTGGCTTGTTTTATAATGATCAAATTTACAAAATATATAATGTACTTTGATTTTAGACCATAAAAGTATACCTTCTGATTTCTACTCTTAACAGTTCATTATAAGTTCTGTTACATGGTAACCTTGCCTCATTTTTGTTAGTCACCCCTTGTTCAAATTCTCATTTGGAATGTCATTATTAGCTTTTATGGCCCATATAACTGGCCTTCAGCTTCACCAGTGCATTTCATATTTCTCCATTTTCTCCATTTTATATCAAGTACACTCCTAATTTCCATAAGTACCCTGATTCACAATGAGTTATATTTTAGTTCTCAGTTTAGAGTGGTGATCCTTAGAAAGGAGGAATCTATTAAATGTACCCTTAGTGAGGATTTAAATTTACACTGGTGCAACTTTACTGTTTTTGAGATGCTGTTTGTTGGACTTTCGTATCTAAATTTTTARATTTAGTTTTGTCCAAGAGACCAACTTGGGAAGKTAGAGTTGTTGGATGATGAAGAATGGCATCTTTTCCCTTAWGTTTCAGTGTTGTTTACCAGTTTTGACCAAGGATGATAATGAGTAAATAGAATCTTCAAGTTGTAGTAGTGCTATTAGCGTTGTCTTTATACGTTCATTTAATAAAAGTCCTTTCCGTTCTTCAATTAAACCAACGATATTTTAATTGTCGTAGAAGATGAAGAACGTTGTGTATAAGTAAATGGGATGACCACAGACTGTGTATWTCTSYCATGCAGCGATCCCATAGACTACAAACCCATGTGGTCTTGACCAACTCGTGCTTGCTGCATGCGTACAACAGGTAAAAAAAACGCAGCATTCTTTAGAATWGAATCTATTGGCGCTTGGGATTCGACTGAACCTAGTAAGACAGAGGATACACTGTCTGTGGTTGTGACTTCAGTTTTGCTGGGGATGACCTCGTCATATGGAAATGTAGTCTGTTTTTATCAAAAACGAAATTAGAAACACATTGAGAGACTTTGCAAGATTATCATTTGTGTTCTACCAAAACTGGACAGATATTTGGATGATCATTATAGACTCATCTTCGTAAAGGTGCGTCGTTTGGGCATAAGATTATAAAAATGATACCTAATGCAAAAGCAAGATTTGGGAATCATTGGAGCAATTCATGAATTAAGCTGGCTAAAGACAGAGGGATTCATTGTTGGTAGATTTTATTGCAAAGGGAATGATTCATCTGATGAACAGATAAAGCGAACAACAAGAAAGGCGCGGCTTCTCTTTGAACTGTTTGATTCACACACTTAAAACGTTTGGATTCTCACGTCTTTGATGTTGACTATGTTTCTCTTGTTTGCTAGTCTCATTTGTTAAACGAAATATTGACTTTACCATCTATGTTTTAAACTGAAATCTGTTTGAAAGTCGTTATTTATTGAAGCTACTCTTCTACCGGAACGCAAGAATTTTGTATGGTTTATTGGATTCCTGCTGGATACAAACTTCTAGGCGCCTGTAAAATTACAAATCCTTTTAGAAAATACGAAATGGTCTTGTCTAGATGAAGTATTGTCTTCAATTTTGTATATACCATCACAAGAAAGATACTTTTCAACAAGAAAATACAACCTCACGATGAAGCAAGTGTGGTTGTACAATAGAAACACCTCGTGGATAGTGATCACTTTGGCGTATTTTATATACAATACAACGCTTCTTTCTAAATGAATGTATCAATATCTCTAGTATTTCAGTGGCAGCTATTCTTAATTAACTAACCATTTATCAATTTCACGGTGAGCGAGCAAACCGTATACTAGTGTAAAACGATCTGCATCCTCGGGCTATGCATCTCAAGACAGGAATTCCAAAGCGCCTGAAATTTCGCTTTTACATCATTTTCTAATAGCAATTTCATTGCTTACTAGACAACAGTTATCTTGGTTAGAGGCAGTTTCTAATGAGGGGTAGTTACCATCCTCGAATTGTTCTAATCGGTCGGGTAGTTTCGGTAATTAACATGTGATTCGCGTTATTAATCGTTTCTCTGAAAACATCACTGCAAATCTTTCCTATAAAGTTTCCTTTTCAAGAGGCACTTTTTAATAAGTCTGTAGAGACTTTGCCTTAGTAAATAGTTAAGGCCATCGACTTTCTTTGTTACCCGTTGAAATCTAATTCTCCCTCTTCGTGCATGTCCTGAAAAGTACAATTTTCTTTGTTATTTGATAGCATTTCTTTCCTGAAAATTTAACTTTAAAATCACGGGATATAAAATACACATCGCGTGTTTCCAAAAACCGAGGTTTTTCGTGATTCACTTGTTTTATTCTTCCGACCGGATGGCTTGATCAAATATTCTCGAACCACCGGCTATTTTTGACGCCGTTAAACAAATAGAAAGACCYATTAGGTTTTCCGGCTACGGCAATACCGCTCTGCCTAAGCCAGTCAAGCTCTTCATATAGACACAAATAATCTAAATTGGAATASTAACAAGAAACTTTATACTCCAGTAACCTCTTCCCACAAGCTTCTTAGGTTGATCAAATGTTCTAGAACTAACGATCAGAAGCCGTTAAACAAATAGAAACAGCTAAGCCAAGTCTTGTAAGAGTATTGCGGGTATTAGACGTGGGACCAATGTTACTTAACTTAACTTGTTATGGACATTGATACAGTGCGTCTGAAAGAGTTAAGTGGATGTCAGTCGCTTGAAGATGTAGCAATAAGAACAATTACTGAGAAATAGAACTCGAGACATCTGCATTCCTTTTTTCTTAAGTCCACCTTAATGAAACCACTCACCGAAAATAGAATATCACATTATTTATTTCCTAAACATCGAACATAACGGAAGAGAAGTCAAATTTGTCTTTTTTATAACCGTTTAGTTTACACCCAGGTGTATAATGGCGATAGTATGTGTTGTGAATAACAAATTATACTAAATCGTTATGTCTATGTCAAAACACTACCTCCCCGTGCTTTTTTCATTTCCTACACCTTGATTACATGCCATGAGATATGGCCGACACATTAAGTCAACAAAACTATCTAAATACACAACTTCATTTTGAAAATCTCCAAAAAAGTCGACAATATCTTAATTTCATTGTTTTTTTCCAAGGCATGTTTGAGTATTCTTTGAATTAAAAATGTACAATATCATATACAACACGTTGAGACGCGTGCCGGGGAAATACTCGTTAAATTGTACAACATCTTCTTAAGGCTGTTTTACATAGAAGGTATTCTWAGGATATCCAACCTGCCTTGCGGTTCCTTTTGGGAATTATAGGGTTAACGGCGTACAGGAATAGACTGAATCTACATCCCGCAGAGATTTCGAATGTGAAGTATTAAAATCAGCCGACAGAGGTATAGATTTTCGTTTAATTAGAAATGCATGTGAGGCGGCCAACGTGCAAGTGGCGAGATAGCTATGGATTTATAACAAACGAACTAACATCATGGCCTTATCAATGTCGGTGGGTTTTCGGATCATACTATAATCGACTCATTACT